CTTTGCAATGAATCAAAATCATATTTGGGTCTGTGTTCTCTGTAATTTATTACATGTGTAATATACACAATATAACTAGACCTGTCAAAATGGGCTGGATATAGCGGGCCGGCCCGCCAAGGCCCGAAAATGTATAGGGTTTGGGTACTAAAGTTTGAGTATTTTAGTTAAACCGGACTTTTTAGCCCAGCCCGGCCCGGCCACAATAAATTTGGGCTCGGGCCGGGCTTACCCGTTCGGGTTCGGGCCATTGTCTACTCATTTTCTTCCATCTCATTTGGCTTCTCTTACCTGTGCATTTTACATGATGTAATCGATTACACCATATGAAAAGCATTAGTTTTGCTGTTTTTTAAACAATGTAATCGATTACACAATCCTGGTAATCGATTACATGCTGATAAACTAATCAGACCTGTGCATTTTACATGATGTAATCGATTACAATATACTCGTAATCGATTACAACACATTAAAAGCATCAGTTTTGCTGTTTTTTTAAACAGTGTAATCGATTACACAATCCTGGTAATCGATTACACTGTTTAAAAAAGAGCAAAAAATAATGCTTTTAATATGTTGTAATCGATTACAACATATTAAAAGCATCAGTTTTTTGCATTGGTGTAAATAATAAAATAATTCGGGCCGGCCCGCCGCAGCCCGCTTTGGGCGGGTTTGGGCCTCATTTTTAGCAACATAAAATATAACCGGACTTTTTAACCCGACCCGTTTTAGCCCGAATCAAAAGCGGGCTAGCCCGAACCCGTCCGGGTAGCCCGTTTTGACAGGTATAAATATAACTATAGATGCAATTTAAATTTGAGAAAAAAATTATACTCTAACAATATAAAATTTTTATACACTGTCTGTTCATCATCTATTATTCATTCATTTTCAATATTATTGAGTATTCAAATATATATATAAACAAATAATAGTTTGTGTATTAATAATATATAAATCTTCATATCTATATTCCATAGATATTACACTTTTTAAATTAGTCCTTAAAGTTTAAATGAAAATATACGTGCATAAAAGTATGATATTTATTCACTATTAATATAACGATTTATATATCAATATATTATACATAATTCGTTTGCATTATTAATTTTAAAGATTTAATAATAAATGAAAATGAATGTAAATAATATACTAATAAATTAAAAGGGAATGATCCACTTACTAATAAATTGGATGTTTAAGATGTAGAGTATATTTTTTTCACTTATCTCTCTCTCAAATTAAAAAATATGACCTTGTCAACGAATGGGTAATGTACTTGGTCCCACTGATTGATACTCTCCGCGTCCTAACCGCGTCGCGTGGCAAATATAAGCTTTATCTTAATTTTTTAGATTCGATTCAGAAGTAGTGGTTGGTGATTGTGGACCGTCGATTTGTCTTGTAATTATAGTAGTGCCACGTGGAATGCTAGGAAGTGCTTTCAATCACATTTTAGTGTAATTATAATGTATCTCTTAGTATAAGGAGATAAATTATCTCCTATAGCCACTAAAATTGTGACATGTGTACCATTTAATTATTTTCTACAAAAATATTTTTAAAACTAAACAAAACAATACACATGTAATTCTTTTAATGGCTGAAAAAGATAAATTATTTCCTAACATGAAGATATATTATCATGTTATTGTTTTTTTTATAGTTTTGTTACTCACTTTCACTAGTCTGTGTACAGTTATATTTATGTCCGTTTGATTGAGACTTGGGATATTTGCTGTCATGTCCAACATGTTTATCCACTGAACATGTATATTACCTAAAATGCCCCTTTATTTTTGATGATAGAAAATTTTGACATTTTTAACGGTAAAAGAATAATAATTATGGCATTTTTTACTATAATACTTTCAGTACCCATATTATAAGGCGTAATTTTAAAGCTTTTGGCCATTTTTTTGCAAAATATTTTGTATGTTGTATTTATTTTAATGAGAAATAATAAAATTCTGAACTTACCAATGAGAAGTGGAATAAAGCTATGATGCTATAGTATATTCTAAATAAATTTAAAAATTAATCCGTGATATTAATTAATATGTATAATCTGGTTAATAACGTCTTGCAATAAGTATTTTAGTGAGTAATATTTATTAAGTATTACAGTTGTCTTATATTCAAATATATATTTTCGGATAATTTTATTAAAAAATAGGTCAATTAGAGGATGAAACAGGAGGGAATACATATGGAGTGAGATAACAATTTTATACCCCATTAGATTAGATATAGAAATTATTTAAATTAAATTTTTTATTCCATTTAATGATTAAAATGTTGGTTCTTTTGTGGAAATATTAACTAATGCATTAACGGTATAGACTAAGGATTTAAAAAGTACTAAATGTATATTGAAAAGAATGCATTTTAGGTTTTAAAAACTCAAAATTTGTAGTTTCTAATATAATACCTACTTTTTTTTTGTTTAGTTTCCTGAAATAGTATCCCTACTCTTATTAATATTACATTTTTAGTAGATTGGAATTTTTAATTTTAAAAGATTAGTGTTTTCATAAATTTATATTACTTGCTCATTATTCAAATAAAAAGTTTTTGTATTTATCATTTCAACTAACTAAACATAGTTTTTTTTGGAAATTAGCAAATTGGATATGGAAGTATTATGTATCCAAATTGCAATGGCATTCAAATAAACACAATTATTGAATGTATGCGTTATTGTCTTATTATTCTTTGAACAAATGATGCTGCTTAGTTTTTGTCCTATGCAGATATATGTTGTCTCGGTCAGCAAAGAATCCTAATGCACCAATGCACCAATATACCAAGTCAAGGCCAAGTCATCTCTGCACCAAGCAAAACCAACATCGGTCAGAAGCAAAGCCAATTTCGGCCAGAAACAAAGGCAGCACCAATCATCTACTCATTCTGATGCTTCAGCCACGTGCTTGGTGGCTGACTCACTTTGATGCAGCAGAGTTCCTACACTTCCTATTAATTCACCTTTTGCACATTTTCCACATGTACTTTATTTGTTATAGTCATGTGTGATTATTGTTAGGTAGTTAGTTAGGTTTGTTGGCTTTCTTGAAGAACAAGACACCTCTTGTTCTCTTCCTATATATGTTATTATCCTTTGTATATGAACAATTAATCAAAGCAATCAAAATATGATAATTCAATTTTACTTTTCCAATGAGTTCCATTTACAATAATAATCTCATACAACTAATCATAAAAAAAAGTTATAATAGATGACTTACCGTTCTGGAAATTAGCAAGTTTTATATTAATGGGTTAAGGTAAAGTTAAAAGATATATAAACTTGAGTTTTATAATCCCAATTACTATGGTATTTTGGATAAATAAGCACTTTAAGTAAATCCCTAACACTGCAAAATTCACTAACCATACTAACTCCTTTAAATTTAATATAAAATTCAAATAAAATTTGAGTTATGAGAGTTAGAATAAAGAGGAAAGAATCTTTTAATTCAAACCTCGTACAAAGAAATTAGAACATATATTAATTGAACCAACCACTTAAGTGAGCCCATCAAAAAGCATGTGTTATTCACTAGATAAAATAATATTTGTTATAGTTGATAATTTCTAGCTTAATTAATTAAGTGAAGACATATTTTCATCACTAATAAAAATAACATCTACCATTCTAGAAATTAAAAAGTTAGTTAAAATAATTAATGATAAAGATTAAAATGTCTAAGAAATTTTATCCCGTGTGAGATTAAAAAGTACTATTTTGACTAGAATTGAAAATCATTTTTTCATTTATTTTTTGGATGTCAAAACCCAATCTATGAGTACCCGTAAAAATACCGGCAACAACTATCATTTATAATAATTTATGGACGAACATGAGTTTTATGATACACACCTATTGGTACTGGTATATTTGTAAATTTATTTTTATATATTATATTTTTTTAATTTTTATTATTTTAATATTATATATTATATACTTTATTACTATTTCATAGTAAATTATAGTGATTTGACTATAATCATAAACTTAACATATAAATATATCTATACTATATATAAAGGCAAAACATGAAATAACTACCACCATGATATAATTTTCATTTTCCTATTTTGCCCTTACATTTTTTAACTTTTACAAAAAAACCATATAATCCTAAGTAACTACTATTAGCATATTAACCACCTATCTCACCTTAAATTAAATTATAATAAATACATTTTTAACATAAAGTACTCTTAATACAAAAAAATTCTAATTGCATAAAATAAAATATATGAAAATTGAATACTTAATATAATAAAATAAGAATGCGGTCGGCTTACACGAAGTGTCTGTCGACACGCTAATTATTATTAATATAATACTTATTTTTATATACTGATTGTTACAAAATATATAATAAAAATTAAAAACTCGTTTGGGTACCACTACCTACACGTATATCCATAAATAGTTTAAGTTTGGAAACGACAAATCAATACCTGCACCCAAAAACCTTTGGCATCCGTAATTTATTTCATCAATGAAAGACATACACATATTTTTTTTTATAAAACCAAAACAAACATTCTATTCTAGTTTATTTGGTGGTTAAAGAGGGGCAAAAAGGGGAAAGAAGTCAAAACAAATGGTGAAAGAGCGTGGAGACCGCGTTTCTCAGTTATAAAATAATGTATATCGTTAAATAAATTATATTCTCCCTCCACACATTTATTTTATTTATTCTTTCATTAAATATTATATATAGTTTCATTTGTTTCATTAAAATATTACTTATGTATCAGCATATTATAAATTATAAACGGACATAATCAAACTTATATCTTTATAATAACGTATTATATTTCATCTATTAAATAAGATGTTGATTTAATGATATAAGACGTTGATTTAGTGATATAAGATTCATTACATCCTAAAATTTTAAAGTTCAATTCCTGATAATGACACTGATTAGGAGGTACAAATCTATATATAATCGAAAAAAAAGTATAATAGTTCATCCTCTATATATAATGGAACGCCAGCTTCTATCTCAAGATTCAATTAAGGCATTCTCTCTTTCTTCACAAATCACAATCATTCATTTGATTGAATCAAAAGAAGTGAGAAAGAGCAATTACAACAATGGCTGATCAACTCACCGATGAACAAATCTCAGAATTTAAGGAAGCCTTCAGTTTGTTCGACAAGGATGGCGATGGTATTATCTCTCTCTTTTTTGTTTCCGCATTATGAAGTTGTTCGATCCATATAGTCTAGATAAAAACTTGGTTGTTGTTGTATTCTTAATTTCATTTTAACATGAACTGTATATTAGATCTGTGTTTTTTTTTGTCGTTTGATTTGGATTTCTAAATTTACAGGATTGTTGGTTATTGATTTTTTACCTGTTAATTCGAAGATTTAGATCTTGCTTATGTTTTTAGTTTATTTGTTTATGTTCTTTTGGTAGTTTTAGTTTTGTAGGAAGGAAAAAGTAGTGTTTGTTTTGTGTTGGGTTGTTAATTTCATGTTCCTGTTTGGTTCAAGAGATAATTTTGGAGGATGAGGATCGGGAATTGAAGCATTTTTTTTGTGTTTAGTGTTTTTTTTATTTCTATATCTGTTATGACTTTTCTCTGTCTTGTTTTTTCTTTTGGCAGTAGTAAGAATATTCCTACAACTAAGAATATTCCTATAACATGTGTTTACATAACTCATCTATTTTAGAATTTGGGGTTATCTCTTATTACAAGCTTTGCTTATACGAATCTAGCGAGTCTTATACTACTAGATTAACGTTTTGAGACAAGTATAATTAATATTTGAAATTGTAAATTAAAAAATTTGGGTCACCACCTTCTAAAAGTGTGTAGTTTTCATTCAAATTGATCACTTTTAAACCAATTTGATGGATCAAAAGGACAATTTTTTAAAGATAGTTTCAAATACTAACATGTTTTCTTAAAGGTACTCCTCTGTACCTTTACAAGCTCTTTTTTAGAAAAGTATTCTTATTTACTTGTAATTTTTGAAGTTGAAGGAAAATTTTAGTCACTAAATTATCTATTATATCCTTACTCTCATTTTTATATAAAAAGAAAATTATTTTGGAGTAAAGTAGGAAGAAGAACTAATAAGGGTATAACAGAAAAAAGAACAACAATAATTTTGGTAAAAACAAACAAAAATAACAATTTCTTTGTGCAAAATAACCTAGGACAACGCTTATAAAAGACCTTTTTAGAGTAAATTTTATTAACACCATGACATAAATCATTTCTCCATTCTTTACCTCTGATTTATATACATACATTATAGTGACTATCTCTGCATGAGAAATAAGTGTCATCTTTCAAACAAAAAATGTTAATAAGCATAATTAAGTTAAATAAATATGATATATTGTCGAAACAAGTCCAAATAATATACAAGTCAATACATCTTCATTGTTTTCTGTCTCTTAGAATTATTGATACATTTTGTTAATGAACTAAAAATAATGAAAATGCATTGTTTCGTATACTATTTGAATTTATCTCCGCAATATATTATATTTTGTTTAACTCAGTTACATTTATCATACTTTTGTGTAAAAAATGAAAGGTTGATACAACACTTATTGGGAGTCGAAGTAGGCATTCTTTATCATTTCCTCACCAGATAGATACCCTTGGTGAATATCATAAAAGAAGTTTCAGGATGGAAACATGAATAATCTGCAAGCAGAATGATTAGTGAATTAAACATATAAGAACAAGTAAAGAAGCAAAATCTCTCATATGCATATGCATTAGCAACCTCTATTAAAGTTCTTTATTTACATCTTCCTGAATACGAACATGTTGTCATAAAGCCAAAATAAGTGATGTTGCTTAATGCATTTGGCGTAGTGGCACTTATTAATTGTATTACATATGTTTTGAACTTGAAGGTTGCATCACAACCAAGGAGCTTGGAACTGTCATGCGTTCATTGGGTCAGAACCCAACAGAAGCAGAACTTCAGGACATGATCAATGAGGTAGATGCTGATGGAAATGGGACAATTGACTTCCCCGAGTTTCTAAACCTTATGGCAAGGAAGATGAAGGACACTGATTCCGAGGAAGAGCTCAAAGAGGCTTTTCGGGTTTTCGATAAGGATCAGAACGGTTTCATTTCCGCGGCTGAGCTCCGACATGTCATGACCAACCTTGGGGAGAAGCTTACTGATGAAGAAGTTGATGAGATGATTAGAGAGGCTGATGTTGATGGTGATGGTCAAATAAATTATGAGGAATTTGTTAAGGTTATGATGGCCAAGTAAACAAGATTACAACTTGTTTAACAAAACTTAATTGAAGAAGTGATTTAAAGTAAAAATGGTTAAACAAAGAAGGACAAGGTTGATGTGTTTGATCCAATGTTCTTGTTCTCTGTCTTTTCTTTTTTTTCATTATTTTTATTTGATTGTTCTGAATCCAACCTTAACCTCATTTTCTGCTATTGGTTTTGGTGGAATGGTCTTTTTTCTAGTCTCTGTTCTTTGTAAAAACTATTAAAAAAAGTTGTGATGTTTATGTAACTTTAATTTCTACCAATTTTTGGTGAATGGTGATGATTCTCATAGTGATACTTGGGATTGATGACAATGAATTTGGATGGGTTCGGGTAGTGCATTACCTAGATCCGCCTCATTACTTCATTTATGGACCCAGCCCGCCTCAGACCCGTGCTAATACCCAACGGATATACTACTCGTGGGTCTCTGGGTATCCATAAATTCAAAAATATTAAAATAATTGCAAGTAATTTATACACTTGTGTATTTGTTTCTTACGATCTTATATGCTATTTAAACACGACTTAGAATATTAAATACAACTCATTTTACTCAAACAAACTTTAAAAACAAGTTCAAAATTATGATGAAAAATTCATTTAGTAAAAACTCTTCAATTAACATAATATTATATCATACATATGAATTAACAGTATAATAATATTGCTTAACAACATAACAATCACACTTATGAAGTAGTATGATATTATAATTATGGTTTAGTATGATATTAAAATACAGATTAACATGATATTACAATTATGTTGCTATATATATATAGGAAAAAATAGCAGGTTCGGGTAGTCATGGGTCTGAATAACTCATTACCCGGACCCAGACTCATCTAACAGCGGATTTTAAAATCGCGGGTCTCAGTTACCCACAGGTCCAAAACATGAACCCATATCCGACCCATTGCGGTATTTTTTAAGGGTACCCGTGAATCTGGGTACCCATTGACATCCTTACTTCAGAATCACATCATATTAATTTTAAAATCTTTTCAGTAGAGTAAGTCTTATTTTATTATTAAGTCGGTTATCTACTAATTTTGATGTCATGCGTTAAAATCTTAAAAAAATCTTTTTATTTATGAAGGTAAGATTACATTCATTTACTGCGTTTATAAGAGGCAAGCCAATAATGTGTCTAATATATAGGGCACTGCCCATCTTTTGAGGGGCAGATGAAGCAATTTACTTGTGTATATATGTAAATTTTTAAAATTTAGAGGACCACATAATATTATGATCTTAAAAAATGAATACAAATCATAAAGGGCCTAGTACATGCAGAGATTATGACATATAGCGTTTAATTTTTTTTAATGCCACATATTTAAGCTATTTTTAATTAAAATATTTTTTATTCTTCAAATCAATTTGGGCCTCACATTATGGGGAAGATCCATACCCTATAAAAATGTAGTTCACTCCTACATTTTAACTATTAATAGGAAATAACATGCCCTATACCAAATTATGTTATAACCACTATATTTTAACTATTGCTACAACAAAAGGTTGAAATTGTAACGTAAAACCATAGGAAGTTATAGTAAATGTTAAAACATGAAGCAAAAGTCATTCCTATTCAGAAGAATGAAGAGCATGAAGATCAAGCAAAGTTGCAGCAGCAACAAAGGCAGATTGATGAAGAGCACCACATGAACATATCTCAAAAGGATGTTACAACTCTGAGAAGCTCATATAAAGCATACACAAGTGAGAAGAAGAAGGAACTAAGTGCAAATAAACAAACAGCTCTTTCAGACATTTTGTCAAACACTGTCTACAATTCTCAGTCAATTTCTTGTTCTAGAAGTAATCTAATAGCCATATGATTAATGTGCTATTTTCCTTTCTGAGGGTTGTTAGTTGGTTATTGTTATTAGTTAAGTCTGTTTGTTCTAATTAGCTCGTTTTTCTTGCTTAGTTTATGTATATATAAGCTTATGAACTCTTGGGTTTGACATATGAAATACATAGAAGTTTTATTCATTCTCTGCATATTCTTTCTTTTCTGTTTCTTCCATCATCTTACTACTTCCAAAATCCTCTTTGTTTAAAACATGGGATAAATAGTTTTAAGATGGTATTAGAGCATCTTTTGATGCTCTACCGCACATTTCTTCTTTTCCTATTATTTTGCCCACAAAAGCTTTCTTCTCCATTATTCTCTGTGCACTCTTTCTTTTTGAAAAATCATCAAACACGATGGCTATGATCAATCCTCTAACCGACCCATCAAGCACCTTCTATATGCATCCCAATGATGGACCTGGAATAATCTTGGTGATAGATCAATTGATAGGATCAAATTATCCTCTTGGTCAAAGGACATGCTTATGGCACTCAAGACAAAGAACAAGCTGCCTTTCATAGATGGCAGTTTGCCAAGGCCTAAACCAGAAGATCCTATATTTGGAGCTTGAGATATGTGCAACACATTGGTCATGGCTTGGCTTAATCATTCAATAGATCAATCCATGGTGTACAATGTTCTTTGGCTTGAATCTGCACATGCCATATGGAAAGATCTTAAGGAGAGATATTATCAAGGTGACAATTTTCGTATATGTGATTTGCAAGAAGATTTATACACTGCAAGACAAGGTGACCAATCCATTGATAGATTATTCACTCACCTAAAGGGACTATGGCAAGAACTAGATGATTTCTTGCCTATTCCCCCATGTATATGTCCTACACCATGTAGCTGTACCTTGGTGCCCACCATGAAGTCATATAGGGAAAGAAACTATGTTATTAGATTCTTAACGGGATTGAATGAGCAATACTCAAGTGTGAGAACTCAAATAATGCTCATGGATCCCCTCCCTAGCCTAAACAAAGTTTTCTCCATGCTCATGCAACAAGAAAGGCAGATGACACCTCCATCTGATGAGCCAAGAATCTTCAACAGTGCTTCTGACAATTCAGCATTCAGCAATGGTAAGGGAAGATTCAGAGGAAGAGGGTTCAGAGGCTCTTACAATCAATCAGGATCAAGCAGAAACAACAATGGTGGTAGAGGCAGAGGTTCAAATTCTAAAGTCTGCACTTTTTGTGACAAAATTGGTCACACCATCGATGTGTGCTATAAGAAGCATGGCTTCCCTCCACACTACAAGACAAATAGCAGCAACATCAATGTTGTTAGTATGCACAATGAAAGCATGGGAACCTCTTCCAACAATGAAGAAAAACTCATTGGCCTCACACAAGAGCAGCACAAGGCTCTATTGGCTATGTTGAGAGAACCATCACTTCAATCTAACAATCAGATAAACACTATTTCCATGACAGAAACAGGTAAGCATCACATTGCAGGTAATTCTCTAAACTCAGCAAGTCTTTTCAATAAAGAAGATTGGATCATTGACACATGAGCAACATATCATATCTGCCACTCCTTATCAATGTACCAATCTTTCAGAAAGATTGATCCTGTTATCATAAAAATGCCTGATGGAAATCAAGTATGCACCAACACTATTGGAACTGTTATGTTTTCAAATAGTTTCTACATGACTAATGTGTTCTATGTCCCTGAGTTTTCATTAAGTCTAATTTTAGTTTCTAAGCTAACCAACACCCTCAATTGTTTCCTGACTTTTTGTAAAACCAACTGCAAAATACAGTAGGAAATCACATTGAGGATGATTGGTGCTGCTGAAGAGAAAAAGGGACTATATGCTATTAAATCCACTGCTCTATGCTCTTTGCCTAACCCTTGTGTGAACTCTGCTAGAACTTTTGACAAAAATATATTAAAAGACTTGGACATCCTTCAGATGCCAAGATCTCTATCATGAATAAAGAATTCTCTTTCATCTCTTATGATTGTACCAATCAACCTTGTGATGCTTGTTATTTTGCAAAACAGAAAAAGCTAACTTTTCAAAACAGTGAAACCATATGTGATTTTGTGTTTGATATCATTCACGTTGACATATGGGGACCTGTTTCTATCCCTTCTACTCTAGGCCATAGATATTTCTTAACTATGGTAGATGACAAATCTAGACACACATGACTTTTCTTTATGAAATCAAAATTTGAAACCAGTAACTACATGAAACTGTTATCATGCTTATTAAAACTCAATTTGACATTGATACCAAATGTGTTAGATCTGATAATGGTGTGGAATTTAAAATGAATGATTTTTACAATTTAAAATGCATCTTGCATCAAACTAGCTGTGTTGGAACTCCACAACAGAATGAAATTGTGGAAAGAAAACATCAACATATTCTAGGAGTTGCAAGAGCCTTAATGTTTCAATCATCTATGCCTAAATGCTTCTAGAATCATGTTGTTGCTTATGCCATTTATCTTATCAGCAGACAACCCTCTAGTGTCTTGAACAATAAGTCTCCTTACCAGGTTCTATTTAATCATAATCCCTACTTTTTGAACTTGAAAGTATTTGGATGTTTATACTATGCTTCTACCCTTGTTAACAACAGAAGAAAATTTGACCCAAGAGCTAGAAAATGTGTGTTTCTAGGATTTAAGCATGGTGTTAAAGGCTATCTTGTGCATGATTATGAAACAAAA